GGCAAATGAGTCATTACACATCCAAAAGGACTAAATGGATCCCCAAGAAAAAATATGGGACTATATGGATTATAAGTCCAAAATATAGGACTTATTGGTCAATCTCCCAATATTAAATATATGCTTAATATTGTTATTACTTAGGAAATAATTGAAACGAATAAAATAGTCATTTGAACATTTATCCTTCTTCATAATATCCCAAACAAGCATAGGATTCAATAGAATAGTTCAATCCAAACATCTAATTTCATAACTAAACAAACATAAGATATAAATCCAGTCTAACCAAATAGTCCAAGGACAATGTATCACAGTACTAATAGTCAGATGGATTCCAATCCCTCCTTATTCAATCCATCCAAACAAATTGCAATCAACCTTCACAAATATGCATGTAATAAGAGTATCTTCAATGTTTCATCAAATTTGAATAAAAATTTAATGAAAAGTTTTTTTTTTTTTTGAACAGTAGATAATTTCATTTAAAAAAGCCGAACGGCACTTACAAGATCCATCAAAACCAAAACTTACACCAAACAAAGTAAAAAAATTGCAAGACGCACAAAGGAGAGAAATCTAAGAAAATATTTAGACACACATCATGTGTTCGTGCTCGTATTGCAAAGCAGAACCGATCATAGAGTCGGCATTAGAGCATGTCTAAAATAATCAAAGATCCCAATCACAGAATGGGTAAGTTTGAACATGCACTCCCTGATAGACACCATAACTAAAAAACAAAAACAGAGCATAGCAAAAAGACAAAAAAAGATCCACACCAACAACATCCAGCGGTGGTAGTGACAATAGTTCCGACGAAGTTGAGGCGGCAGACCCAGTGAGGCCATGGCCGGAGATGAAGTGGAGGAAAGATGAAAGACCCCACAAAGGAGGGAGAAGATGGAAGTCCCAAGTTTCCACATTATTTGCAGCAAACCAGGAAAGGAAAGAGAAAAAATGGGGGTAGGAGGAGGGGAGAGGAGGCCAGACGCCGCCGGAATCCCCTCCCCCACCCCGACTACCGCAGCCCGCTGGAAGCCCTAGGACAAGAAAAGTGTAGAGTGAGAAGCTCTCAACTAGAGAGAGAAAGTGTTTGATTTAATAAAAAGTTTGATATGATATGATGCACTCTAATAATTTCATCAAATTTGATCTGTCGTCTGGCCGATTATCTGGCTTGGCGTAAATTTTCATTAAATCTTTTTACAAAATTCGTAATCCATCCCAAAATTCGGTTGACAAGCAAGTCGTTTGGTCAGCCGCTCACCAATTGCCACCTTTAATTTTTTTTTATTGGATTCAACATAAATAAAAAAACCATACAACAGTTTAAAGTAAAAAACAACTACTAGAGGATCAATCCCTCATAATAGTCACCTGTAAAATTTGATAAAAAGATAAAATCCCATTTTTGATGAAAAAATTGGTTCTTTCTTCATTTGATATAATTTAATGAGAGAAATGAAGCTCAGTTTGGATGTGTTTTTTATCAAATTTAAATTTGATAAAAGATGCGATACAGCGTCTCTGGAGATGGTCTTACCCATATTAAGTGTAATTGTGTGTCTGTCTCTCTCTCCGCTTCAAAACATAGAAACTGTTGGCTTATTTTTCCTATGAAGGAAAGTATCAAAAATACGAACGTGCCAGTAAGGATTGAAAAATCCTTACAGATTAAATTCAAACCAATTATCAAGCGATTGCGTTAACGGTTCTTTTGCCTCAACAAAGAGGACTTCAAAATTGCTAAAGTGTAGAGAAAAGAAAAATTAAAAGAAGAATGAGGGAGACGGAAAAAGACGATTGAGTGAACAATCAAAGTAATAATTACTTACCTCTACTCCTATGCTTCGAACAGGAAATGATTTAAATGATTTGAAAAGTAAATGCTGAAAATAAATGCTTCAAAATATAAATCTATGTTAAACTACTCCTAAGATAAAGAAAATGACAAAAAATATTGAAATCAATTGTCTTTGATTTGAATCTTGGATCCTTTACAATGTAGTCATGAATGGCTATTTATAGGCAAATATTTGTAGGAAAAAACTTCCAACAATAACTACCCAATAACCACCTAAAACTGCCCACTCTTCCATCTTCATTCTCACAATGCCACATATCCTTTCATGTCTTCTTAACTTCCTTTAACCTCCAATTCATGCTCCATGTTCTCTATTTTATTCTCCATCATCTTTTGACATTTCATAACTTCTCATAACCTCCAAAATGAATAGGAGGATGCCACATGTCCTGCAATTATATAAATAATAAATAATAATAAAAATTACAGATTTATGGTGCCAACATTACCCCCTGCGGCCCTTAAAAATGATGTTTACTTGAATTTTTTAAGGGTCGAACCAAGCACATGACTAATCTAAGCAATAAAGTGCTTCAAATGAGCATGAAATTATGACAAGATGTTGCAAATTTTATATATACACATTGAAGGGATATTATTGCAGAAAAGTTTCGAAGGATAACCACATATTTTCAAGCCAAAGCCAATGATTCACTTTAGCAAACTGTTACACATGATAAATAACCAGTTTCGAAGGTGGTATAGAGGACCAAAATTATCATTCGAAGGTCGAAAATGCCGACAAAGGACGAATTACATCCTTGGAAATACTCGATAAAGTTTCGAAGGTTCACAACCATCACTGTTTTTTCTTTGAAGCTGTTGTTGATGCAAGATGGAGTGCTTCGAAGCATACAAAATTATGACAAAAAGGGCTTTCGAAGCAACTTTTGGCCAACATTGAAGGTTCACAACCACCAATATTATTTTTTCGAAGCTGTTGTTGATGCAAGATGGAGTGCTTTAAAGCTTAAAAAATTATGGCAAAAGGACTTTCGAAGCAACTTTTGGCCAATACTATGGTTATTCAAATTTTGTATGTTCTAGTTCACACATAATTAATGAAAATATTAATTTTATGCTTCGAACCAATTATTAATTCTCTGAATACACCAAAACCATTGTTCTTCGAACCAATTTTTGTAGAATACTAGTTACATTTTCATATAACAAATGGCTATAAAAATGTTTATCAGTAAAGCCACTAATTATCATGCCAAAAATAGGCATTATTTGACAATTAATTAATTGCCATTTTACATATATTTGAAGGGAGGTACACATCTCGAAGGCCTTCTTGTTTCATGTTACATTTTCAAGGTATTTATTGATGACAAAACAACCCTTCGAAAGTCTCGTTTGTTACTAAAGGACCAAAGTTGTTCTTCGAGAGTGCTCACAACATCCCTTCGAACCAAATCCAAAGAGTTGGATTAACAACCCTCACATGTTCTTAATAACATGCTTCGAAATGTCTTGGGACATGCTTTGAAGGTAACCACAAAACCAAATGGTGATGGTTTTATGGATCAACTAATAACCATAATTTTGGCCCAATATATTGCAACAATAAAATATTATTTGTTAGTCATTCCATCAAAGTCAACGTTCGATGTGATCCACAAATCCAAAATGGATTTTGAACAACAAAAATTATGATATAGTGTGACCATGAAAATTCATACTTTTTAACATTTTGAAAAATGTCAAAAATTTTGAATTCAGGAAGAGTGACTTGTTCATTCTTCTTAACCATGTTTGGTTTAAAAACATGACTTTCGTTGAATTGATTTTCATAATTATTTAGTAAAGTGGGCTGTTTTTCCATGTTAACCATTAATGGCTTATGAAAATCCCCCATAGGTATGCTATTTTCATGACTTGACTCTTTAAAAATTAGTTTTTGGACCGCCCGAGCCATGCATGGAACATTATTCTTAGCCAAATTTGGCTCAAGAACATGCCATTTCGTTATGTTAATTTCATAATTTGGCTCTTTTAACATGTGCTCTTGAACCCACCGAGCTATTGATGAAATCAACTCTTTGTTTTTGTTATTTTTAACCATGGAAAAATTTTGAAAAATTTCACCAATTCCGACCATTAAAGCCTTGGTTAAAGACTTGGTAGTGAGAGTTGATAACTCATCATTCCATTGGCGAATTTCCATATCAAGTCGATGAATTTCTTCAATTAAATGGTGCATTTTTTCTTCCACCAAATAATATTGTAAGGAATGAAAGTTTTTTTCATCAAGAAAATGGATCTCTTCTTGAAGATCTAAAATTTTTAGTTTATGCCAATCGATTTCATCTAGGCTATTTGAAATGGACAAATCCAATTTGTTTTTCATTTTTTACACTTGACGTTCCACTGGGCGTGCCAAAAATTGTTGGCTTATTTTTCCTATGAAGGAAAATTTCATAAATGCGAGCGTGCCAGTAAGGATTAAAAAATCCTTACAGATTAAATTCAAACCAATTATCAAGCGATTGCATTGACGGTTTTTTTGCCTCAACAAAGAGGACTTCAAAATTGCCAAAGTGTAGAGAAAAGAAAAATTAAAAGAAGAATGAGGGAGACGGAGAAAGACGATTGAGTGAACAATCAAAGTAATAATTACTTACCTCTACTCATATGCTTCGAACATGAAATGATTTGAAAAGTAAATGCTGAAAATAAATGCTTCAAAATATAAATCTATGTTAAACTACTCCTAAGATAAGGAAAATGACAAGAAATATTGAAATCAATTGTCTTTGATTTGAATCCTGGATCCTTTACAATGTAGTCATGAATGGCTATTTATAGGCAAATATTTGTTGGAAAAAACTTCCAACAATAACTATCCAATAACCACCTAAAACTGCCCACTCTTCCATCTTTATTCTCACAATGCCACATATCCTTCAATGTTTTCATAACTTCCTTTAACCTCCAATTCATGCTCCATGTTCTCCATTTTATTCTCCATCATCTTTTGACATTTCATAACTTCTCATAACCTCCAAATGAGTAGGAGGATGCCACATGTCCTGCAATTATATAAATAATAAATAATAATAAAAATTGCAGATTTATGGTGCTAACAGAAACACTGTAAACCAAATTGCCAAACCAACCAGTCAAAGAAATGGAGAAAGGGTTGTCGTCGTCGAAGAAGAAGAAATGGGATATCCAAGGCAAGGAAGAAGATGGCAAAATGGCGTCGTCCATTACCTTTAGAACAGTTCAGGCAAAGATTACGGCAAATCTGAATAAACCAGACACAAGGCCGTTCATTCCCTTCGTACAAGGCGATCCATCGGCTTTTTTTCGGACCACTCTGGTAGCCGAGGGCGCCATTGTTGATTCTCTCTGTTCTGCTAACTTCAATGGTTACGCTCCTGCTGCTGGAATTGAACGGCCGCCAGAACGTAATGGTTACTTTGGCTCTTGTGCCATTTTGATTCTTACAATTTTAGTTGGATTGATTTTGACTCTCTATTTTATTTTTTTACATCAAATTGGTCTAGTTGATTCTAATTGCTAGCATTTTTTTTTTTTATAATAAATGCACACATCAACATTATGTGTCACGCTTTTTAAGAGTAAAAATATAAATTTGATCAATTATGTGACTTAATCTCAATTAATTCAGTAAAAATTTTCTGTTAAAAATTTTAACGGCATTATCAATTGAACAAAATTGATGCAAAATATAAAAATAAAAATAAAAATTGAATCAATTAAAATTAGAATAACTAAAATGACATAAACGAGAGAATATAAGAACCTGTAATTTTCTCAAAAAAAAAAAAAAAAAAATACAATGAGCTCATTGATGGACCAATTTATGAGAAACATTAATCCACTCTTTTAAATTCTGACACAATCTTTTTTGGTTAAATGGTCAATTGCAGAGCATCTCTCTTGTGGACTACCATACAAATTATCACCAAATGATGTGTATCAAACTGCTGGTGCCATTCATGCAATTGAAGTCCTTATAATGGTGCTTGGGCGTCTTCCTGGAGCCAATGTATTACTTCCTAGACCTGGGTATCCACAATATGCAGCTTCTGCTGCATTTGCCAATCTTGAAATCCGACATTTCAACCTTCTACCAGAAAAGGGTTGGGAGGTTGATCTTGATGATGTCGAAGCTCTTGCAGATGACAACACTGTTGCCATGGTCGTCATTAACCGGGGAGTCCTTGTGGAAATGTTTTCACATTTAGGTTGTTTAAACTCGTTTCTTGGATATATATACATATAATCGTCTTTAAAATATAAGTTTGGTTTGACATTAACGTCGTTTAAAAAAAAAATAATGAAATTAAGAGTATCTTTTAAATTTTACATGAAGCCACAACCTATGTTACATGAACTCTAGTACGAGTGTCGGGTACGAGTATATATTTAGATGTTGAGCTTAACAAATTATAAATTTAAGGATATGCAGACTCGGCAAAAAAATGTCAATTTTTTATACTTTTAATCAAGTATGTGAGATAAAATGGTGGTATATGTAACTTACAGTGTCAAAAAGATATTTATATCAATTATATAACAATATGTACATATAATAGTAGTGTTAAATACAATTATATAAGAAGTGTCCGATAAAAAATATCCGACACATATCCCATATCCTTATCCGAGTGTCAGGTGTCCGATATGGATATTTGATTTATTTTGAAGAGTCTGTGCAACATAGGCCACAACAAAATAAAAATAATCAAATACACTCATGCTCACTAAAGTATGCATTTTGTTGCGTTCTAGTTCTCGAAGTATCGATTATGTTGCATTATTATCCACAAAATATACAATCTGTTACATTTTGATCCTTAATTTTTTAATTTAATTTTTAAAAAAAATAAAATTCTGAAAATTCCCTTCATTCCTTTGTTAATTTTGAATGACCATAATGACAAGAAGTGTAACAGATTGCTATTTTGAGGATCAAAATGAAAAATTAAAAAATTAAAGACTAAATTGTAATAGGCTATATACTTTGGAGAGAGACATGTGTACATGTGATCGTGTTTTTAATTCCAAAGTTGGTGACTATTCTTTCATTGATTGATTTTTTTTATTTTTTGTTTTTCTTCAGATAGCCGAGAGTGCAAAAAAGCTTGGGATATTAGTGATTGCAGATGAAGTTTATTACTATCTAGCTTTTGGGAGAAACCCTTTTGTGCCAATGGGAGTGTTTGGATTGATCAATCACTCTTGGCCTTGTTTGGGAATATGATATTTTAGTAATTTTTTAATTTTTTAGTTAAAATATGAGGTAAAGAAATATATATATTTAGAATGACTTTTTAATTTTTTACGAAAAGATACGCAAAAAGTAAAGAGAAAATTAATCTTTAACTTTTTTATATAAGTTATTGACTTTTTTTTCATGACTTTTTTTAAACTAAAATATGGAATTACCAAATATGGCCTCAATTGATTTGATTTTTTTTTAATATTGTTGGTATGTTTATTAAAATAATAAACAATTATAGAGTTAAATGCACGGACCAGTACACTAATTTAGTTTTAAATCTTAAAATTATATCAATTATATAAGTATGCATAAACTAATCCGGATATCTGATTATTTAAAAACAAAATTATATAAATACAAAATCCCAACATATATATTATTGATATGGGTTGAGCTTCTCTCCAGATATAAACCCATGGAACCTGCCACGTATTGATTCAATAGTTTATTTTGTAGAGTACTTCGTGAATATTATCACTAAAAAAATTAGGCCAATTAATTTTGATGGTTTAGGATTGAAGAGCTCAATGAAAGCCAGATTAGTGGTGCTGAAACCACCGTCGATCAATACAAATTAATACAGATATTTGATTATTTAAAAACAAATTTATATCAATACAAATTCCCAATATATATATTTAACGACAATGCTACGTAGCTCAAATTTTGTGGCTCAAAAGTGGCTCAAATGGCCAAAACGACGTCGTTTTGAGTACAGAACAACATAAAAATGGCCAAAACGACGTCGTTTTGGCCATTTGAGCCACTTTTGAGCCACAAAATTTGAGCTACGAGACATTTTCCTATATTATTGACATGGGTTAAGTTTCTCTATATAAACCCATGGAGCCCACCACGTATTAATACGGTCGTTTATTTTATAAAATATTTGGTGAATATTATCATTAAAAAAATTATGCCAATCTAATAATTTTGATAGTTTAGGATGACATCTTGTTGAAGAGCTCTATGAAAGCCGGATTAGTGGTGCTGAAACCACCGTCGATCAACAGGTTGACCCCGCTCACATACTTAGACTCGTCGCTCCCCAAATACACCACAGCCTCGGCCACATCTTCTACTTCCAATCTCACTCCTTTCAAGTTGGCCGACTCGCAAACCAGCTCTTCCACCTCCTCCTCCTTCATCCCCAGCCCATTTCTCAGAATCGGCGTGTTCACAGCGTGCGGAGAAATACAATTCACTCTTATCCCATCCTTCCCGAGCTCCACACACAAGTTCTTCGCCAGCCCCACCACGGCGTTCTTCGACGCCGTGTAAGGGTGAGGAATCGATCCATAAATCGCAGAAACCGCGCTCGCTGTGAACACAATGCTGCCTTTTTTGTTTGGAATCATTGCTCTGGCGGCATGTTTTGCACAGTAGAAAGCATCGAAGACGTTGACGTCGAAGACTCGCTTGAGATCTTGGGAATCGAGGGATTTGATTGTGCGATCGAACTTGCCGCCGATCCCGGCATTGCTGAACATGATGTCGAGTTTGCCGTGTTTGGCGATGGCGGTGTCTACTGCGTGTTCCACGTCGCGCTCGTTGCTCACGTCGCAGTGTACGAAAGAAACGGATTCGGTGGAGGTGGAGTTGACGACGGTGTTTTGGATATCCGCAATTATGACCTTGGCGCCATGCCGTACGAAATGCCTGGCGGTCGCCTCGCCAATGCCGCTGGCTCCGCCGGTTATCACCGCCACTTTACCTTCTAGCCTGCAAAATTATAGGGATGAAAAATGATATAGGAATTTATTTTTTAAATTTATTCTTAAGACTAATTAATATGTAAAAAAATAATTAATTATTAATTAGAGACGTTATTTTAGAATAGCACTAACTACTGAGAATATGGTGAGATTAAAATATATATATATATATATATTTTAAGTTTGTTGATATCAAATATCTAGAGAGAAATTTTTTTTTGGTTGTGGAGAGGCATTGATGGGTTGGTTACCTCTTGGCAATGGGAGATAGCAAGGAAGAGGCTTTCAATAGATTTGACATGATGTTTCCGCTGTGAATGAAAGAACTTGAGCTGCTGTATTTATAACAGAATCAATGGATGGATCCAATATGTAGAGAAAAATTACCTGGTGATCTGGGAACATATTTATAACGCGTCTTAATTTAATATTTGTTTACTAAAATTGTACGATTTAATATTTTTTATTAACATTTTAAAATATTATTTAACAAGCATCAAAATGATAAATGATGTGAAGAAAAATGAGTGAGAGCACTAATTAGTGTCACCATTAATAATATGGCACCCACTGCTCATCCACTGCCACAATGTTATTGGGTCTGTTTTTTTTTTAAAAATAAATGTCACATTATTAGTGGTTATTTTAAAGCACCACTTTTAGACTAAATAATCACTCCCTAGAAATATAGGATGGTATCTCACGTTTGGCAATCGGTTAATATAGTTATAAATTCAAAATTTCATTAAAAATGTCAAAAAATCAAAATATCATACAGAAAATTCATAAATTTCTTTTAATTCTCTTTATTCTTTTACACATTTTTTTGGTAAAAAGTTAAAAAAAAAAAAAATCAAAACACTTCAATTTGTTTTCACCTCATATTTTAATCAAATAATCAAAATATTACTAAAAAGTCATTTCCCAAACCTACCCAAAGAGCAATCTTTGATGACTAGCCTATCATATTTTAATCAAATAATCAAAATATTATTAAAAAGTCATTTCCCAAACCTACCCAAAGAGCAATCTTTGATGACTAGCCTATACTTAGTTTGCGTTGTGAAAATTAAATTGATGAAATATGGCTCCATGTAATAAATGAATTTGAACCTTGAATTACTATGTACGGGTAATACTCAAGAAATTCTTAGTAAGGTGCACTAATCATGAAAATGTGTCAAGAAAGTTATTATTAAAGGATATGTGTTGTTGAAATTTGATTAGTGTATTACAGGGTCTATGTATATGAACCATACACTGATGATTTCAGATAAAATTTTGAAAAAAATTTCACAATTTGTAGTGTTACTAAATTTTTATATGGAAAGACTAGTAACCCTCTAATAAAATTTCTACACCTTGTTTGAAAAAATAAAAAAATAAAACAAAACAAATCACAAAATGATTCCGAATTTGTAATGGAAGGTATATATTTAAAATTGAAACTTGGCCTCTAAATTTTTTTTTTTTTGATACTGTGAATTCACGATATGAATAAATCTTAATTTATTATTATATTTTGAAACACTTTTCTAGTTTATTTTTCTCAATTCATATCACTATTGATTTTTATTTTAATATATGCTGTCAACATATATATATATATATATTAAATTTGTTTGGGATTTGATACTTTACACGTTATTTAGGTATTGAAAAATGATTTGTAAATCGAAAATCATTTGGCTCAAATGGCCCGACTGCCGAAAACGACGTCGTTTTGGGTAGTTTTTTTTTTCGTATTAGATCTCTGAGAGAGAGAGAGAGAGAGAGCTCTACCAGAGATATTGAAGTTCATCGATTTGAGCTCCACCAGTGAAGAGAGAGAGCTCAACCTGTTTCTTCTTCTTCTTCTTTCAGGGTTTGAAATCGATCGATTTCATCGAAATCGATGGATATGGAATTCACAAAATCGATGGATATTGATGATGATGTTGTTGATGATGATGATGATGTTGATGAAGATGTTGTTGTTGATGATGATGATGTGTTTGATGATGATGATGATGTTGATGAAGATGTTGTTGTTGATGATGATGATGTGTTTGATGATGATGATGATGATGATGTTGATGTTGACGAAGTTGTTGTTGATGATGATGATGATGATGTGTTGATAAAGATGTTGATAAAGATGAAGACTTTTGTTGATGTTGATGAAGATGCTGTTGATGAAGACGTTGTTGAACAAAAGTCTTTCAATTGCTGTTGATGAAGACTTTACATGTTCTTTCCCAGCTTCCTCTTCTCTTTGTGTTCTTCATCTTCAAAGAGACAACAAGAAAAAAAAAAAAAAAATTCCAAAACGATGTCATTTTGAACTCGGGCCATTCGAGCCGTCTTAGTTTCGAGCTACCAAACGGGAGATTAGTGCACTACTAGTGAAAGTGTGCACCCATTATAAAGTGCATAAATCTTATAAAACAAAATTTATTAATTTTATATATTTAATATTAATAAAAATATCTTTGTTAATATCATAGTCTTTTTTAAACATTCAAAATTGAAGAGTTAAAACTTATTATTATTCACAGGGTCTTTTTTTGTGTGTAAATGTTATAATTTGTATCTATTTGTTGTGTCGAAACTTAGTAACTACAAATTTAAAACATTTAAAGTATTTATTGTGATTTTTTCTTTTTGTGAATATCTATTTGTTGTAAAAGACTCAAAACTCAATTAGTTAATTTTACCACAATATGATTCATAATAAAATCACAATTGATCCATAATTTTTTTAAGGTTCATAATTTGTAAATATTTATAATCACAATAATTCCTAACATAACTACAATAATTTGTAACTACGATTTTTCCTAATAAAACCACAATAATTTTTAATTAACACCACAAAAATTATATCGTAGGCTATTCCAAAATAAAAAATGGGTGCATGGTGTGACAAGGATAACAAACCAAACTATACAAAATAAAATAAATAAGAATTAAAAAATTATTATAAGTTTTTTTAAACCAAGAATAATAATAATAACCAAAGAGGGCAACATAGTAATTTGGCAATGCCATAATTTTTTTCCTGGGGGATTTACTCCTTAGGAGTTGTTTGGAGTGTCCTAAATAAATGCACTTTTTGTCTTTTTAGACTAAAAAGTTAAGGTTGAAAATATGAATATTTGGGTTAACTTTTTGACTTTTTACGAAAAAATGTGTATTAAAAAATTGTATAAATCAATGTGTAAGGAAAAATTAGTTTTGAGAGTTGTACAACCGTAATTGTTAACTTTTGGTGAATAATAATAATTTTTTAACTTTTAACTTTTAACTTTTTTGAGACTTCTCAAACTTAACCTTATATTAGGACATTTGATGTACGCGATCTTGGATCATTATGTCTATGTGGTGGTTGATGATTAGGGATGGCAACCATGTGGCTTTGGGACTACAAACTCGTTCCTGCCCTGGTAGAAACAAGAGCAAAGCGATGGATGGTTTAATTTTGTGACTTTAAGAATGTGAATAGTAATAAAAATTATAGATAATATAATATTTTATAAATACTAATTTATAATTAATAAGAATTTAAATATAGATAAGAAATAAATGAGTAAAATATATGTTATGTGATTTTATTTTTATTTATTTTTTTTGTGTTTTAATTTTAATATAGTTAAAAAAAATTAAATTATATATGGTAGAGGGCCACAATTTTTACGGTTCAAATGGCTCAAAACTGTCAAAACGACGTCGTTTTGAGCACAAAACATGTCAAAACGACGTCGTTTTGACAGTTTTAAGTCATTTGAGTCACACAAATTGTGACTCTCAAACATTATTCATATATTATATACAATTGATGCAACGGTCAAATAGAACATGGCGAGAGAAACAAAACACATTCGAGCTTACTTCCTCATTAGGATGGGGAAAATCTATTCGGGACAAGACAGGTCCATATTACGTAAGTAATAATAAACTCATAAACCATTACCATTTATCTCTTATCGATTTCTTAATAATCAACTTTTCTTTAAATTGTTTATTTATTTTTAAATTACAAGTGAAATTGCATCAGACGACAACGTTTCCTAGCTTCAATTATATTGTCTCATCTCTCTATTCGTCTTTCTAGTAGTGACTTCATGATTTTTCTTTTTTGAGATCAATAAAAATCTTAACAAATTTTATAAAGAAAATGTCCACTCTCATAAATATATATTTTCAATAATTTGACAAAACCAATTTTATAGAATGAATACAGAAGGTTTGTATATTAAAAACCAATCTCATGAATACATAGGGCTATTTTGAGAATATGGTTATAATCAACTTTTTGTGAGAGAAGGAAGTGAGTTATAATCTGAGAAGTGAATTATAATCCACCTCTCAAAACAAGTAATAGACACAAGATAGATTAACATATAGAACGTTTGTATATTAAAAATACAAATTTCATAAGCAAGTAAAGTACAATTTTAATTTTTTTTAAAAAAATTATATAATGGGGTCAATTTGATCTAAAAATATAAATAAATAAAATTTATTAGGGTATCATAGGGTTGTAGAGCCGCCCACGTTCTTCTTGTCTGGTCGGAGAGGAGGAAAAATAGCACCCTATGGTGGATTTGTTGATTTACACCTTCTGAACGTGAAACTTCTGAACGTGAAATTCCAGTATTTTGCTTGTCGCATATTTATGTGGTGGTCCAATTAAATTTATAGTTGGTTAAAATTAGGGGTGCTAATGAATTTGATCCGTCAAACTGATCGGTCTGATTTAATTCATTTGTTTTTAAGTTGTTTCGATAATATAGGCGGATAGATGAAAATAAAAATTTTGTCAAATTCATTTATGTTCAGACGGATGGCGAATAAGAAGTCACTTGACCTAACCTGATTCGCCAACCCACTTAAAAAAATAATATTATATATTTATGCTAAAAAAAGTACATTTTATTTAATAGTAATATCAGCTACTTATGAAATATGAAATTTAGGCATTCATTTTAATTATAAAACATGAAGAATAAAAAAAAATCGGACTCAAATAAGGCCCAGAATAATAAAAAAATTACTCTAAAATAGTTCAAAAAAAATATAAAATAGTAAAGTCCAAACAGTCAAATTGATTTGCATCCGCCCGTCAATTCACACAGTCTGCTTAATTCACATCAATATAGGCGGATAGATGAAAATAAAAATTTTGTCAAATTCATTTATGTTCGGACGGATGGCGAATAAGAAGTCACTTGACCTAACCTGATTCGCCAACCCACTTAAAAAAATGATATTATATATTTATGCTAAAAAAAGTACATTTTATTTAATAGTAATATCAGCTACTTATGAAATATGAAATTTAGGCATTCATTTTAATTATAAAACATGAAGAATAAAAAAAAATCGGACTCAAATAAGGCCCAGAATAATAAAAAAAATTACTCTAAA